CCCCAAAACCCCAAAACCCCAAAACCCCAAAACCCCAAAACCCCAAAACCCCATTACTTAATAAGTTATTAAATAAAGATAAAAGAAGTTACAATGTCAGCAAATTTGCTAGAACTTGATGGTAGGTTTTGGAAGTTAGGAGTGGAGATATGGGGATTTAGAGGAAGGGAGAGGGTAGAGGAGAGGATTTTTGATAATATGGGTTTTTGTAGAAGGATGTTTTGTGTTGGGGAAGTTGAGCTGGAATTAATTTTACTGAGAGAAAAATAAAATTCGCTCATTTTTGTAACTAAACTTACTTCAAAAGCATCCCTCCTAAATTTGATTTCTTAGTGCCCCATCCTTATAAAAACCTCACACTCGCAATCTTGACATTTCAAACTAGATTTCATTGAAAGCCCCAGAAAACAGGAGGAAGAAGTTAAAAAGATTCCAGATTCAAGTTCACCAACGAAATCTGAAGTACCCCAAGAAGACAATACAAAAGCAAAGAAGGGAAAGAAAGTATCCAGTTCTAAAAAGAACATCAAAGTTGTGATCAAATTCAGAGGTGGAGAAGTAGACACTGAAAACCTCACCCCTGAACAACTTAAAATTAACCAAGAACAAAAGTCTGTATTTTTCGATGAAAGGACATACGTTTTCAGCGAAGCCCTAGGCCCTGCTATTACCCAAGCAGAGACCTACCAAGTCTCTTGCAAGGAAGTGATCAGCAAAGTTCTAGAAGGATATAATGGGACAATTTTCGTTTATGGCAACAGTGGGTCTGGAAAGACATATACAATGCTTGGCCCTGACTCCGTCGTTGAATATCTTTCCTCTCCTGATATGCAAAACCAGAACATTGATCCAAACATCTCTGCAAATTTCGGTATAATCCTCCGGGCATGTACTGAAATCTTTGAATTAATGAACAAGTCATTCAAATAAGGGAGAAAATGTGGGATACAGCATGACAGCTCAGTACTTTGAAGTTTATCTTGAAAAGATATTTGACCTCGTAAATTACACTGGAGAGGGAGCAAGCTTAAAAACATCGAAATCCGGGGAGACTTTCATTGACCCAATGACAAAGATTGATGTAAGAACTCCTCAAGACGTCTGCAAGATACTCGAGATTGGCCAGAAGCATAAGAAACAATCTGCTACTCATATTAACGACAGAAGTTCAAGAAGTCATACCATTTTCTTGCTTGAAGTCCTTACTGAGAGAAAAGATGGGATTACGAAAAAGGCCAAGTTAAATCTGATCGATCTAGCAGGGAGTGAGAAATATTCTAAGATTGGCCCATCAGAAGAGCGTCTAAAAGAGTCTACGAACATTAACCTCAGTCTTCTGCAGCTGAGCAATTGTATAAAGTCGCTATCAGAAGGCCATAAGTTCGTTAATTTCAGAAGCTCCAAACTTACTCACTATCTAAAGGACACTCTGAGTGGAAACTCGAACACAGTGCTTATCTGCACTGGTAGTCACCAAAAAGTTAACCAGAGCCATACCAAAATGACACTCGAATTCGCAACTAGAGCACAGAAGGTTAAAACAAAGCCTGTAGCCACAGAAGAAATGTCAAAATCCAAAATGATAAAGCTTATCAAAAAGCTGAAGCAAGAAGTCCTCGAACTCAAATCAATAATTGAAGACTTTAAAACTGAAGGCCACACTATCACTACTGATGACCATATGGAAGAAGACAAGGAAGACTCTGATGAAGAAGAAGATCTCCCAACTGACAATACTACTTATTTTGAAGATACAGACCCTAGGGATACAAGTTTCCAGAGTGAGCATGTTCGCCTTCAAGAGTCTAAAATCGAGGATGAAAGTATCCACTTCCAAGAATCTGCTCTATTTGAAGAGAAGTTCCAAGAACTCCAGGCAGAGAAAGAAGAGTTAGATGAAAAAGTATCTGCTTTAAAAGAGAAGATCAGCAATCTTGGAGGTAAATAAACTTTAACGTTCTAGAAAAACTTGCTGAAAAGAATGAAACTATTCAGTCACTTGAAATCAAACTTGAGTGTAAATCTGGGTTTATTTCAAATCAGAATGCCAAAATCACAGAAATTTCATCTGAAAAGGATAAGATTTTGCAAACTCTCACTACCGAATTAGAGAAATTGCAAGGTATCTAGCCTCTAAATTTCTAGAAAAATGCCATAAGCTCACAGCTGAACTCGAAATTTCCTCTAAAAAGAGCGAAATTCTTCAAACTGAAATCACTGATCTGCAGAGTGAATCTACTAAGGAGAAGGCTAAGCTTCAAGGCGTGTGTGATGACCTTAACAAAAGAATTTTTGACTCAAAACTAAAGTTAAACAACCTTGAAAGCCAGCTCAAAACAACCAATGACCAGAAGGAAGACCTCTCCAAAGATGTGGACTACTACAAAGGCGAAACAGCAAGGTATAGCAAAGAAAAGGAAGAGGCTTTGGCCAAGGTAGGTCCAAGTTTTGATCACCTCTAGAACCTAGAATTACAGAGCACGATCTCTATGATTACTACTGAAAAAGATGAGATTCAAAGAGCAAAGAGTCATATTGAACAAGATATCACTTCTTATAAGGAGAAAGAGAGGACCTCTTGTGAAGAAATTGCCAAACTCAAGACTGAAAATGCTAAACTCAAGGAGCATCTTGAGACTGAAAAGCAAAATATCGCTGAGATGAAGATTAACCATGAATTTGAACTCAAAGAAAAAGATAAAGAGAGTGAACTAAAGATCCTCCAGAGTCAACTTGAAGAAGCTAAGGATTCTTTGAGTAAAGATAATGAACAGCTCTCTGGGCTTCTAGCTCAGAGAGACAAGTTTAACGAAGAGTTTAAACAAAAAGACCAGCACCTTCATGAGAAAGATCTCAAAATTGTTCATTTAACTCAGATAGAGTCTAAATATGGCCTCTTACTGACTGAGAAAGAGGGATTAGAGGGTTCTTTGAAATCAGCTACTGACAAAACCTCAGAAATCGACGCTAAACTCAAGAATGCAGAAGTAAGCTCCTGCTCTAACACTTAGCTCAAAATTTCAGATATTGAAAGAACTAATAAAGATCTAATCGAAGCATTGAAAATAAAAGAAGAGCTTCTCGCAGAATCTGAGAAGAGAAAGGATTTCCTTTGGAACAAAGGTCATGAGATTAAAAAGCTATGTCAGGACAAAATCACAATAGTTGAACGTCTCACAGCCGAGCTTGAAAAGCTCAAAAATGAGAAACAAGTAAACCAATTCTGACGCTTCTAGACCCCCAAATTTGAGAAATGTCAAAAATGTGAACAGATCAGAAAGGAGAAAATCGAGGCTATTGAAAAAGGTACTCAAGCTCTTATTATACTCTATAGCAACGACTGATTACACAAAGCTGAAGAGGAAAATTTTCTGGTATGAAGAGAACGCACTCAAGCATTCGGACTATGACTTAATCAAAGAGAAGTCATCGTAAGTTTTGACCATTAACTGTTAGCAAATACCTCAAAGAAAAGGAAAGACTTGACCGAGAGAATGCTAAGCTCAAGCAGACCATCATTGAGGTATTGTTGTTTGATGAAACTTTAGCTCGAAGCCCAAATAGAAAAGGAGAAGATTGACCACGAGACATTGTTAGAGGAGAAGAATCTGAATTTATTGAACCTTGTTCAGATCAATGAAGCCCAGACAAGACAAATGAACAATCTTAATCGTATGTTTACACTCTTAATTTTAGAATCTGTTAGTAGCTTCAAAGCAAAGATTGAAGAGATGGTCAGTCAGAGCTTTAATATGACTGAAGTTAGAGGCTCAATCAAGAGTCCTACAAAATTCTCTGGAAATCAGACAATGAGGCATACCACAAAGAATGTAGCCCTCGCTATGCCAGGAGGTCATGATGTAAGATAATATCTTCAATAAATTTAGGATGATTACTTTGATGATGAAAGAGAAATGCAGAGTCAATTTGAAGCTCTTAAAAGGTAAATTTTCTTATAATTTTTAGGAAAAATTCAAAGGGGAACCAAAAAGAGCCTGAATATCTTAAGGACCTGACTGATAACTTGACTCCTCTTCATGCCTTTACAATGCAAGACTCCGTCTATGACTATGATAACTTCCATAAAGCTACTAAAAAGAAACACACACCAAGTAAAAAGGCAAGTTTTTATCCTAAATTTTCACAGGAAATCACTAAATCCAGAAGAATGACTATCTCAAAGCCCATTGATATTGGAAGCTGGGGCAACATTTAGTAAAACCATAATATTTCAATCCTTGGCATGAATATTGGGGTTTTGGGGTTTTGGGGTTTTGGGGTTTTGGGG